ACATATTCTGTTATGTCAATTTTCACACTACACGGAAAGAACAATTTTGCTGAATCCAGATCTGAAAATAATTTTTGTTCAATAAACAAAATAATTTTGTACGAAAATAAAAATAATTGCTAGAATATCAAAACGTTTTATAGCAATACTTATCAGTTTTAACATTCCAACAAATTATTTTGATGATTCAATAAAAAATTATTTTCAGATATATTTTTAGACCTTTCAACAAAATCGTTCTTTCCGTATAGAAGAAGAAATATAATAAATCATTTCTCGTATATAAAAGTACGAACAAGTACCTACTCATTTAAGATTATTTCACGAGATATTCTCCATTTTTTATGTGAATTATATTTTAGACTAACAATTAGTTGTAAGCAACCGCAAATTTTTGGAAGGTGGGACTTTGCACATGCTTGCCCCACCAATAAATTGAAATAAACATAGATGTGAATTTACATTTGTAGAACAAACTATTAAATGAGCGACTTTCGTTACCCTCAACTTTTCATATACATATAATCGTGATGATTCTAGACTTCAATTTTTACTTTTATGTATGTCGTTATTTACAAATGTGATTGGATCTTTAAATGAAGTTAATCAAGTACATGTGTAATATGTTATGAAATGATTTCCTAATTGAATTTTTTGTTTATATAAGATAAAAATTTGCCACCTTCTATTTAAGCTAAATTGAATCTGGTTTAGATATATTATTTTTTTAATTCTTGCACATTAACGCGTTCGATAAAATTATTAACCTTTCACATCCTGCGCGATATTATGCGGGTATCTAGCGAAAGCGCGAGATTAAGTTGAAAAAGGCCCGATCAAATCAGGTCATGCAAGATTTGTAGTATCGGTAGACGAGTTTCACGGGCCATCGGATTGAAACGTATGGGCTAGGGGCAAGGTATGAGCCCGTCAAGCGAGAAACGTTACGTCATCAACGATCATACTCGAGAGAATCGTAAAACGGGGCGGCATATCGCGGCAATTAGCCGCGCTTTCACCGCCGGTCGCGATTCAGACGAATCTTATCCTGATGAATCCGGGGTTATCTCGACAACGCCAGACATTGCGTCCGCAATAGTAGACGGATACAATGTGTACGCGAATTTTGGAAGATCGCCAATCGTAGCAATCGTGCCGGATGTAGACGAGTGGCTCGATCGACGAGACAGGAGTCTGGCTACTCTGGCTATGCCGGCCGGCCGGCCGGCCGGCTGGCTGGCTGCACTTTCAGGGAGCAACGTCCTACCTCCGCGAATATGGTCGCGAACGAGCGCGACGGAAAGGAAGATACCGACGAACAAGAAGAGGCACAGAAGAGATTCCGGGCTCTCTTGTCCGAACGTCTGTGCGAGGTCCGACATCGCGGCGAGCGGGCGCATCGATTGGTCCCAGCGAGAGGATTTTTGCCTCCCTTTGCGCCCCATAAAATACACCGTCGCCTTGCATTCCTCCTATCCTCAATTCTATAGCAACGTCAATTATCCTTAACTGAAGTTTAACTGATTCTCTGACCCTCTTTCTCGACAGAATCGAGAAACGGATTGAGATTCAGTTAAACCGCAATTGAAATTAACAAACGTTTTTAACAAATCGGATTTTAGAGATAGAGTATACAGGATTTTTGAGTGCTATTTGCAGAAGCAACGTCAATTAAATTACATATTTTTAAAATTGCAACTTTTATATATCTAAAAATTATGCTTTGTATGCGTAAGAAAAATTATATCCAGAAAGTTATAGTTTATTTAAAAAGTATATTTTCCCTACGAAGTCTCAAGAGTTTCATAATGGTCGAAATAGGATAAAAATTGTTAAACACACAATCGATCATCTATTTCATTCGTTTCTCTATCGTTCATAAAATAAAAGTACATTTATACAAAGTTATACATAGTAAAAAAATGTAGCTCCTTATCTTTAACACAGATTATTTTTTGATAAACATTTACGATATAAAATTTTTGAAAAATGTGGGGCTTTGCATGCATGATCATCAAACTAAACTGAAATAAACATAGACGTGAATTTATATTTGTAACCGAAATCCGAATATCTAAAGCTTAACGTATTTTCTTTCATTAATAAACTTTCTAACTAGAGGACATGCGAATTGACTAAATATATTCTGTTATGTCAATTTTCAAACTCTAGATAGAGTCAGACATAAATCATTTCTCGTATTTAAAAATATGAACAAATGCTTATTTAAGATTGTTCTACAAGATATTTTGTATTTCTGTTTCAGCTTTTAGGTAAACAACGTATATTACGTCAGCATATTTAAATTACAAATTTTTGTAAGGTGGAGCTTTGCCCTACCAATAAACTGAAATAAACATAGATATACATTTACATACGTATCAAATATCTAAAGCTTATTTTATTTTCTTTTGTTGATAAACTTTTTAATTAACAAGGAGAAGACCAGGTCATTACAGATCCTGATCCTAATTTTTTTGGGAAATAAAGATATCTATATCTTTATTTTGCCTCTAGTTTCACAAAAAAAACTGGGATCAGAATTCGTGATCGCACTGACCTGGCCTTCCCTTTGTAAGCTGAAATCCTGTTTACTAAAATTTGATTTATAACATCAATAATTTAACGCACAATAATCTCTTCCTAGTACTTGCATTACAATTATAATTCTATTATAAAATAATTTCTATATCAAAATAAAATTTGCTTAAACTTCATTGAAAAATATAGAGCTCTATCGTTCATTTTATATTTTTAATTTATGATAATATTTAAATATGCGACTGTCTATTCAAATTTGATTTAACGGTATGATATTGAGAATCAGTTAAACCGCGATTGAAGTTAACAAACGTTTTTAAAATCGGATTTTAGAGATAGGTGTATGTAGGATTTTTGGTGATACAAAAATCGTTCTCACGCACATGTACATACGTATATACGTAAAATGCAATAGAACTCCGTATCTAGGTTTTTCGCCGAAAAAAGAAATGCGGTATTTATCTCATACAAGCGCGCGACATCAGGTGACTGCAATATTTTACGGTCCATCAAGAATTCTTGGCGTCACGGACGCGCTAACGCGTTTTAACGACGCCCTTCAGCGATAAGAGAAATCGCCGATCGCAATGCAACGTGACGTGGTAAAGCCCGCGACATCCGCCGTGGAGGACAGATTGTATTACGTTCCGTGCGCGTCTCGATAAACGCGATGAGGCGTGTAGCATCGCAACTGATGCATCTATCCGCTGTATTACAGCATATTAATGTCATTGAGTATCATGTCGGAACGTCGCGCTAAGTCGAACACGGTGAATTTTGCCTGCAAATTGCAATGTTGCCACGTAACTCTTTATCGCCGCGGGTATGATCTAGCACAAGTAACGCCTTATCGCGGGTCATCTAGAATAAACTTGCTAAGTTCGCAAGCAAAGGATTATTAAGATCCCACCGTTCCTATATAGTTAGCACTCGGCGTGATCTAAATTATCAAATAAGTAGATCACGTAAAATATCGACATGTGCGACATGCGTGTGGCATGTATGATGTATTTGAAAAAAAAAAAACGAACGAATCATATACTCGATATTTAGATCGAGTCTCGTATAGTAATATGTCAAAAATGTAGCCGCAACAGAACTCGATCCACGCTGAACGGATATCCGCGGAATCCGCGTAGGCGATTGATAGAAGTCCGAATCTCAATCGAGATGTGATCGAATATTTGGATTTTTAGAATCAGATCGATCGATCGCGTCGCGGCGCAGGTGCGATGTTACCGAGCGTTTTTGACCCTCCAGAGAGAGAGAGAGAGAGAGAGAGAGAGAGAGAGAGAGAGAGAGAGAGGAGCAAGATTCGCCAGGCGGCGAGATGGGTGGCTGCGGGAGGGGAGGGAGTCTGCAACACTCGCCGAACAATCGCGCGGGACGGAACCCGGCTTGGCGGGATCGTGCCTCGGGAATTTCGCGGGAATGCATTGCCGTGTTCATCCTATCCGGCGCGACCTATTGCACGGAATGAAAATCGCGGAACGTCGGCATGTCGAGCACGAAACGTCGGGGAGGAGAACGCGGCGGATGGGGGAGAACGCGGATTAATCGGGATTTTAATTGCGGGAATATACGCCGCCCGCGGGCGCAGCATCCGTATATGTAAATAGGGAACGTCAGCTTGCCTCTTCGTTTAACGACCGGCAAATAAGTATCGTGGAATTGCCACGACGACGTTAACTTATTATACACGCGCGACGCGAGGGATTGAAGAAGAAAAAAAGAAGAGGAGGAAAAGGAAAGTAGTTTCGACCTATTCTGATTGAAAATCCCGGCCTAAGTGGCTCGCGCCGACCTGCGTAACGAGGATTTATCGCTGACCGTACTTGACTCCAGTTACGCATAGTGCGCATTGTGCTGGGCATAGGGAGGTAAATAGAAATCTCACTTCTCAATTGAACGTGCCTCGATTATCCTGATTGCGTTTGTACGGCCAAAGGTCGAGTTATGTGCATTACAATGCAACAATAACGCGCCTGTTCTCTTCGTATCGCGCCAGTAATAAGCGCGTTGAACGATAAATACGCTCTTTAAAGTAAGCTATTTTCGATTTTCCTTTCTCTCGCAAGATTTTTCGAATTTGGAACAATTTAGAATTTGGTGGACAGAGAACGTTACTTAAATTTTTGTAATATATATCATTCCGTTTCCATTTTATTATAAGGATAATTCGGAATTGGAAATCTATTTGCCGGTATAAAAGCTCTCTAACATTAAAAAATCTAAAATTGAAAAAATTTGATAAAACGTGTCGGAAAAGTTTCGTGAGAAAAGATGAATGTTTCGTGGTAAAAGATGGTAAAAGTGGGATGTTCCGTGTTTTTAATACTGCAATAATATCGTTAAACGCTTCGCGTGCGTGCGATTCTTCGCGAAGTGCGAGATCACGAAGCTGGGGACTGTAATCATCCGCCAGGCTTACAGGATGAACGGACGGACCCCTCTTTTACCTGTCCGATATCCCGCGTTGCTCAAGTAAGCGGCGAAGGAGTGCGGTTCGTGATCTCGTTGCCACTGGGGACTGCTGCAGTTGTCGTTGTTCGTGAAGACCTCGTGATTGTGAACGTAACGACCGGTGAGCAAAGAGCTCCTGCTTGGACAGCACATGGGAGTGGTCACGTACGCGTGTCTCAGCTCGGCGCCCTCGTTCCTTATTCGCTTCAGAGTCCGTGGCATGAAGTTCAGCGAACCTGCACGACGGATACAAGACAACTATTTTGGAGTCGAATATGTACACGGACTTAATCTATGTACGCCAAAACACGTCCATTGTCCCGCAATGCGTTTAATCGCGTCGGTTTCATACAATATGCTGCTTACCGTGCTGAATGCGAATGTACTATTAAAGTTTATTACAGGATATACGGTCTTTACCTATGAATCGTATTCACATTTGAAGAGTCGCGCGAGCTTTCCATAATAAAAATAATTATTATCGGATTAACGAATCGAGAAAACAACATCGTTGAAAGGCATATATGTATCTTTCATTAAATTTCAAACTATTTATTTTTAGTCTAATTTTTTTAATTGAACACGTTGAAAATTAAGAGAAACAGTGACAAACAATTAAGGCAAATAAAACTTTGTACTCTCTAGAAAAGAATCGATTCGATTTATTGCGCGGATGAAGATTTCGAATGTTGCACGCACTTACTATACTTTGATAATAAACGAATTAATGAAATAAATACACGAGAGATTCTATGTAACGTTACAGATAAGATTACATATTGCACGCGTTTCTCTTCGGGTACGTGTCGCGATATCTCGGAGCGGGCCTTTGCAAGGACTGAGACTAATATCGCGATGGACGAGATAAGGCGCCAGCAGGCTGCCGCACGCAATAAACAAAGTGAACACTGTGCTCCACGTAGGCATTTGTACCGCGGGCGATAAATGAGTCTCTCAGAAACCAAACTGATCGACTTCAACGAAATAAAAGGCAGACAAAGTTGATGAGGTAATAAACTAATCATGTGTGCTCTGCTATTAAATTAAGAAATTTACAGAAGAGATCGATCATTTCGGCTATATCGAGAGAGGCTTAAGTGTATGGACGCTGTATTATAACATGTCGCAACGAACCCAGTTCGACGTCTTGATCATCCGTCAGAATCAGCACGATGTTGGGCTTACGTTCCCTGGGCTGCTGATGCGGCAGATAGGGCGAGTTCGGCTGATGATTGTAATTATTATTGCTGTTGTAATTCGACTTATGGAGGGAACCGCGACGCTGCTGCTGCTGCTGCTGCTGCTGCTGGCCGGCGTACGCGTCATCCGCAGGTCTGTCTCCGTCGGTCCGTCTGGCATTGACACTCAACAGGAGGAGGGCCAGAAATTGAAATAGCTTGCTCATGGCGGCGGCAGCGGTTGGTGGTCGTTTATGGACTGGCTACCTCAATCAAGTGTCATACCATGGTTGTGACTGGAACAGGAAAACGGAGCACGCATCACGTTAATGGGCGCGTGAGTCCGACGGTAATTGGATCGCGGCGCGGCAGAAAAAGAGAAAGAAGAAGGTCTTTAAAGAATCTTTCCCGCCTCGTATATCTGGAACGTATATCTCCGCTCAAACAAAAACAAAAAAAATTGAAAAAGACGTAATTGCGTGGAAAAAAGAAGTCATCGACTGTCATAGGAAATCGTTCCAATCGCAATTTCTGTTACTTCATATATTGTGCTGATTGACAGAACCAATTCGTAAAAATGTCTACAATATGTAATGTATGTCGCGAGTTTCAAATCGTAAACGTTTCTTTACTGCAAAATTAGAGGAATCACTGGTATTATCTTAAATAAAAATAATTGCACATGCAATCCATGAATTTATGTGATAATTTTGATATTTGATTGTCGCGATGATTTTGTATCTAAATTAAAAAAAACCATATAAAACTGTCAGTAGATCATCATTACAAAACTTTGTAATTACATAATTAAAGATCTTATAATTTATATGTTATATCTTTGTAACTACTATCGATATGTATTTCGTTTTTAAATTAATTCTTTAGCATTTATAACTGCATAATTTTAATAAATAATGACCAACAGAACACCTAAATAAATATTAATATTTTAACGGTTATTAAACGAATTAATCTAAGACTTAATATAAATTTTTGTATTACATATCTACAAATTAAAAGCAAATTCATATAATAATTATAAGATTGCACTTAACTCGAAATCGAAACTCAAGAATTAGACCCATAACATTCTAATGATAAAAGAAAATTTCTGTGTTTCACTTATATTATATTTTGCAATGAACAATTTATAGCGAAATATAACAATGTTGCCTAATTGTTATATTTCGCTATAAATTGCTCATTGCAAAATGGCATTTATAGCGGCGTAAAGCGTGTATCTACCGATAAATATTCATCGAATCAGACATTCCGATCGTCCGATTGTGTTTGTGCGCGAGCTGCGACGCGATATGGTGCCACGAATGAAATTCTTGCACGACCAAAACTCATTACGTAATCCGTTAATAACCACGAGCAGTTTGGATGCGCAGTACGATAATTATCTCTAATAAACGCGGCAAACGTATTCAACATCGTGATCGTTGCACGCATCGTGCCAAACAATTAACGGGTCGCATTACTGGCGATTCGACACGATTAGCCGCAGATGCCGCGTATGCTATGCCCATCAACAGGCTTTACCGAGAACGAACGTGATCATCCGAACTAACTACTAAACACGTCTTGTTACTCAGGAATGAAAGATGAGAGATGAAAGGTGCAAAAAAAAAGAAAGAAATTACGTGACCTTGCCGGACTGTGGAAGCGAGGAACGAGACCATAATCGCATGGTCCGTGTTTTGCGGCAGACCTCATCGTGCTGCATGTTGCGAACATCTAACGAAGAACTGAAAGAGCGATAAATAATCGCGCAAACCTGAATTAACTCCTCATTATTGACTTATTGTTAGCCGTGTAACTATATTATTAAGATAGATCGTAAAGAGCGTCGCAAATTTCTCTAACCTAATCACATTTTTTTTAAATCAAAAATTTATATCTTCTAGTTTGTGCTGAAAAGAACTTGTCCTAAAATTCTTTAAATTTTTGTGTGTACATATTAATATAGAATTAATTACATAATAATTACTATTAATTACTTTATATCTCTTTTAAATGCTACGCTTTTATAAATTTTACAATTAAATTTGCTTAGTTTTTTATCATTAAAATTAATGATTAAAATTAATTACGTCTAATACTTACAAATTATATGACACCAACTATAATTTTTATCATAATAAATTCGATAAATTTGCACAAACAATTCTTTAAAACTAATTAAAAAATAAATAATTATTTATTATATTTATTATATGTATGGCATTATTATATTCATTCGTATTATATTAATATTATTTATACTCTTATTGTCATCTTGTCAAATTTATATTTATATTTCTTTCTTAAAAGAATAGATTCTTTTTATAATCAAGTTTCCGGTGATTTTTCGCGGCTGGAATACCAATGAAAAGATTTCGCAAACGGTACTACGATAAAGCTTTATGATTTTTTTCATCATCTCCTATTATCCAAGGCTCCTAATCTCGTTTATCTATTGCACGTGAGACGAATAAAACAACGTAAGGTGAACGCTTCGAGCAACGCGATAGGTGGTATTTTAAGACATCTAGAAGCTAGAAGAAAATCGAACGATGCGAGACTCGAATGGGAACCCGATCGGGCTGAACGGATGGAAGAATGCTATAGAGAATGTTTTCGCAGACAGTCAAATATGGACGCGGATGGTTGCACGGCAGATAAACGCACGATGCCGGACGGAGGGTTCCCACGATTCGAGAGGATGCACTAAGGAAGAATATTATTTGCGGAAATCGCTGCGCCTTCGGCGTCGTCCCCGTCGTATATCCTTCCGCACGCGTATTATTGCAATCAATTTTATTAGATTTCTCGTAATGTTCATCTCTTTTTGCGCCAAGATCTTTCAGATATTGAATGATGCTTTCGAAAAGCATCTCGTGCGCTGTTTTTATATAACTTGAGCAAATTTTTTTGTATTTTTCGTGTTTCATAACATTTTTCCAATTTTCTATAATATTTATATACTTCCGCTTTAATTGTTTCTTCTGTATTGTAGATATGATTGCGTGTTTCCGACGTTTGATATTAAAATCACGTTTTGGATAACATTACCGATTAATAGCTGCATCCAGGTGCAAAGAAGTTCCTCAGTCAAGACGCTCGTATTCAAATTGCATCACAAGACACTATAATATTGTATATCTACTCCGTATAAACTCGCGATATATCACGTGTGCAGATTAATGTATCGCTCTTTTAACCTATCCGCAGAATCCGGTTTCGACACCTCAATGGTTACGTGCAGCCCACGTGATAATCCGAGCATTTGTAATTAATTCGGCTCTCGTATTTGCGATGCGATCTCCCAAAATGGTAGCCTGCGTCATTTCACCAGAAAGAGCGACACGATTAAAGTATCTTATGCTCGAACGAACGTAAAAACGTGGGTGGATCGAACGAGTGTTGTGTATATTGATAAATATTCAAAACGCCTTCATGCCCGCGCGCGATTTGTGCGCCAATACTAAAGGTATCATTAGCATTGTATTAACAAGAATAAAATATAAATAACAGCAATAAAAATTTGTAAATTTCTGAATAAGCTTGAAACAATGCGTATAAAATAATGCAATCGTTTATTCTAAAAATTAATTTTTAAAGTTTTGTAAATAAACGTACTACGATTTATGCAATAATATAATTTCATATTCATAGCTTATTATAATTCTATATGACAATTGAACTTTTTTCTCTCTAATGTTTCTAAAATTTCGATTCACCCATTTATATAAAAAAAAATCAAAACATTTTTATATTATAATTAAATTAATAAATAATTTTATATATCAGAATGAGGAAGTCTTTTTTTAATTTTTGTTAGCTTGTAATTTTTGTTAATTGTATCGACTATTCCATATACGAAATTGAAACAAGTAGATTTCTCATCAAAGTAAATTCTCATCTGTAGAATCCTCCCTTTTTTATTTATACTCTTCTAGAAAATTTATTTATTGCATGCTACTGTTTTATATTATGCATTCGCCAGCCACGCATCCTCGGTGCTCACTTGGCAAGAGCCTCAATCCTGTCCGCACTTGAAATACGATCTAGTCTGCGAATAAATACAAGCACGGAGAACGCCTTTGATACGCGCAGATCCGGCATTCTTGAAGTGCACGCAGTGTATATCCACGCAAGGTACACAGTTGGTATACTTGTTTGGATACCACATGCTTGGGATCCACTTGCTTGGATTCAACCTCGATCGGCGCGATCATGAGATTTCATCTTGTACATATCCTGCACCTTGCACGTTGTATTTCAAGTTCAAGTCGATCGCGCAGGGAGGCGTAAGGATAATGATAATCCAGATAACACGAACTATCCATCCAGTCGCGAGATAAATCGCTTTTCTACCCACTTATATACAGGCTGTAGCTTAAAACGCGAGCATCGTCCGTAGAATGCGTAATATTCGCGAAACGGAGAAAAATATTGCTTGAAACGTGCCATAAAATTGCTATCTTCAAAAATAAATTTAAGAATACACATTCTTCTGTTATACATCTTTTACATAGTACCAAAGAAATAATGTTAAAATAAACCATACTCAATTGCTGTAAGATTAATCTTTTAATCCTCAATTAAATTAGACTTGCATGCATATAGTTTAATAGCAAAAGTAGGAATAAATATAATTCGAAACGACTTCTATCGTATTTTTTCGAATAACATATTCCGTAAGGAATACCCACGCTTCAAGACGTCTATATAAGCTCGTAATCCTTGAATTTATTTTTTATGTCGTTCGTGGGAGTAGATACGTCTATAAAAACATCGTCAGTGCTGCACATGTATGAACAGCATTACTTTTACGATCTAATATTTAACATTTTTTGATGTACATAAAGTATATTGACATAGTTACGATCGTAATTTCATGAGAGAGCAGAAAACCAGAAAAAAATTTTTAAAAATAGTACAGAAAAATAGAATGGAGTTTGCGTGTTTAATATTCGAATAATTTTGTAATTATCTAGAAATGATGATATATAATATGTTATATTCAAGCTAATCATACGTATTGTGTCCGCATCACCATCGACGTGGGGCAGGTTATTATGCTAATTAGCGCCAAGTATATGCGCGCGCGACAAGTCGAGAGGCGGCTGGAAAGATGTCAGGAAGCGATGTCACGTTCGGTCCGGGCTACTTGATCGCGAGCCTCTGATCTCGCGTTAATTACTTGCTAGTTGATAGCCACCTCGGTCCTATAGTCGAGCAGACAGGCGGGCGACACTGAGAACGCGAGCGACAAGAAGAAAGCAGAAGTATCTTATACATATAAATT